TTTTTTTTTGGTACCGGGAATTGAACTCAGGATCTTGCACTTGCCAGGCAGGTGCAGCACCACTGAGCTAAATCCTCGGCCCATTGCATTATATTTTTATTGGACAGCACCTTATCATTTACTGAAGCCTTTATTATTTACTTACCTCTATTTTGGGGGGTCATGTTTTTAATTTTAATTTTTAAATTATTAATTTGTTTCTGGTACATAAGGATTTATATTCATCATGGGGAGTTGATACATGTACATAACACATCTTAATTCTTTTTATGTTGCCTTCCTCCCCCACGCACAGTGTCTCTATGTAGCTCAAACTCGAACTCTCCATCCTTCTGCCTTAGCCTCCTGCATATGGATTACAGGCATGCATCACCATGCCCTGCTACTTACCTCTATTTTACAGCAGATCCCAAATATCTTCTAATGTGGTCTGGCCCTGCTTACATCAACTCCCTCTATCTGCCCTTCCATAGAAGTGCAGTGGCCATTTAAATATGGGCTGCTCAACTGCTGAGCACTGCTTAATAACCAGTCTGATTGGTTAATTTTCTTTAAATCTTTGTATCTGAAAAATTAGTTTTAATATATACTGTACCAGATGTCATTTTCAAAAAATCAGAATATACAGACAGCAAAAAAGAACAAAATAAAATTACTCATTAAATCTACCATCTAGAGAATCACTGATGAATGTTGACATATACCCTTCCAGAAATGTTCAGTATACAAATCTATAGAGGCATACACACATATATTTTAGCAAATGGGATCATACTGTATAAATTTTTATATTATATATACACTATTAACATATTTTTACCTAAGAAAATACAGAAACATCTTTCCATTTCAGTAAATATATTTTTCCTATTCTATTTTTCATAGTTTTACTCAAAAGTCACTTTAGCAATGAGGGCTTCCCTAACCATTTTATTTAAAAATAATATCTAGAGCCAGGTGAGGTGGCACACACCTATAATCTCAGCACTCTGGAGGCTGAGGCAGGAGAATCACTGTGAGTTTGAGGCCAGCCTGGGCTACATAGTGAGTTCAAAACCAGCCTGGACTACATAGCGAGACCTTGTCTCAAAAGACAAAAAAACAAAACAAAACAAAAAATTAAAATCTACATATTTTTATCCTTTCAATTAATTATTTTTCTTTACAGTACTCATCACTTTCTAATATGTGATGAAATTTATTGATTTATCCCTCACTAGAATGTAAGCACTATGTGGGCAGAGATCTTTCTGTTCATTTTACCTCGGTGCCTAGAATTGTGCTGAGTGCACAGAAGATGCTGGAGTATTTGGTCCATGAGAGAATAATGGATAAAAAACAATGACATAGCATTTTATTATACTATGTCCCCTGGTTGTGTTTTTAAATTATTTATATATCTCTTCTAGAGCCATACTTAAATTAAGGCAGTTTTCTTTTTATGTTTTAAAAAAAGCTATTAAGTAAAAACAATATGTACAATCCATCCATTTGTTAGAAATTGTAACTAATTGTTGCCCAACTTGATATCAAAAGTGCCATTTGGAGAAATAGTATTCATGGAGAACCATTTGAAGGAAACACATCTGTCTGTTTCTCTGAATAGTCTAAAGTTTAGCTCTGTACTAACCCAGACCATCACAAAGCTGTGACTTTGGACTAAATTGTGAAAAGCCTGATAAAACAAGTTTAAGACCTTCTGAATCTCCATTTGGCATTTCTAGAGCAAAGTGGTATACAACTCAACATCAAATTTGCTGTTAGGTGTTAAGAGAATGCTGTCTACTCTTACTAGGTGTCTTCTCTGAAAATCTACAAAACTTTTTGCCCTTCTTGAGTAAACGATAGAGTTTAAAAGTCCTAAGAGAAATGTGAATCTTGTGTTTTCCAATTTGCTTTGGCCACAAAGAAGATCAGAGACAAATTCGTAGACTAACTTTGGTATTTGGGGATACTGCATATTTATATAATGCTTTTCTGTGCATTAATTTTCCTTTTGCTGAACCTTACTATATTTTGATATTCCCTTTACCCTTACTTTAAAAATCTGTATTTTCCCAGCCGGAGACTCAGCGCAGTGGCACCCCGCCTGCCTTGCAAGCACAAGGTCCTGAGTTTGATCCCCCGTACCAGAAAAAAAAATCTGTATTTTCCTGTTATTTTGTCTTTTATGTATTATTGTAAGATATTGCAAATGCTTTTTGGAACTAGCCAAATATAAATCAGTCAGTTGCTTAACCAGTCACAATATATAGGGACAAATACACCAACTATCATACCTGATACTATTAAGAACATCTAAGTCTACTTCTCCTAGTGCCAATGTTCACCAAGCCACTCTGATTTTACTACAGCTTTCCCTGTAGATTTTTCCTATAGAGAATGGAAAGGTAACACTGGATTCAATTATGCTTTTATTTATTTTTGAGACAGGGTCAGACTATGCAGTTCAGGTTGACCTTGAACTCACTATGTAGCTTGAACTCAATGGGTGATCCTCCTGCCTCAGCCTCCTGAGTGCTGGGATCACAGGTGTGCGCCACCATGCCTGGAGGCCATTCAACTGTACTGAATTGCTGAAAGCAATTATATTCTCACAAATTAACATAAAAACTCAAATACCAATTTGTTGTACTGGGTTATAGATTTAGAAATTTCCTCTTGAAATTCAGAATTAGGATTACTATTTCTGTCACACGATTTTGACGTGCTACAGAGATGAGCCAAATAATCCTAAAGATTCTATCTGGTTTAGCGGTTTGCATTCAAATGGCTGAAACCAAATGTCTTAGGGGATCAGGCAAGGAAACGGGGGCTCCATTTTTACCAGACCTATTTTAAGTCTGAAGTAGGCATCAAGAAGAAATACTCATTATTGTACACTTTTGATTAGAGGCCAAACTGCAACTGGGGAGTTGATTTCACACAGATTTTGGGTGAGTTTTTTGTGTTTAAGTGTGTGTATGTGTGTCCCGAAGTACCATATACCTGTACCCTCTTCGGGCTAGGGTTGGCATAGATGGAGCTCTTCACTTTGAATATCTGACAGGGTTGGGGTGAGGTGAGGAAGATGATGAAACAACTCTTGATTTTTTAAAAAAAATTTCAACACTTTTCCAAATCCCTGTAACTCTTAAGTCTTGCCCTTAGCAAGGTCATGAAGAAATGACTGGACGGAGGAAAGTTCTGACCCCAAACTATAGAGTATAGAAGTCACAAAACCCTGTTCAGTCATTCTCATTAAACTTTTGGGCTTTATTTATTTATTTATTTTTAATACCACCATTACATATTACACAAAAATAAAAGTCAAATGAACTTGGTATTTATAAATTATTAAATAAAAATACAGGTATATATATTTATATTTATAGAGCTTTTTCTTTTCTTCTAAACTAACCAAATCTGTTCTCCTGCCGTTTTATGATTTAAAAAAGTAAAATAGTGTATGTATGCCCTAGAATAAGTGGGGAGTAGGATTAATAATTGTAGGACTGAGTTGCCCTACTTCTGCTCCTTCCTTGGCCTAAGCAAAGTTCCTATTTGTCCCTTTGGGCTCCAGAGAGCAAGAAATACCCTCTCCACCTATTTACTCTTTGAAAAATGGGAATTACACTTATTTCCCTCATTTTAAAAAAGCGAAATAGATTTAAAAATTGGGAGCCATACTCAGCCTTCTTGGCCAAGAGCTAATCCCAAGGAACTATATGGCTCTAGAAGAGAGTCCCTAGTTTTCCCTGACAGAAGTCTCTGGGGTTTCCATTGCCCCTCAAACTAAGAAGGGTAGGACAGGTCAACACTGCCCACTGTGATCCCATTCCAGCTACGCTTCTGGGAAACCAGACCAAGCCCTTTATCCTTTCAGAAAGCAAACTCTTCTTCCACCCAGGTGTGAAGGCCTCAGAGCAGGGTATTTCAATCATATCACCTGACCACGGTTCCTGCTGCCCCTGTTTGCTAAAGGCCCCCAGGAATGCTAACATGGACAAGCATCCTGTGGTAGAGGGTAAGGTGAAGAGTCTGTCTGCCCCAAACCTGGGAGAGCACAGGCTCCAATTGGAAGTGATGGTCTGGTAAGTGGTTTTCCAACTTTCTTTTCAGCAGCAATCCCCTTAATGCAAATAAAATCTTACCCTGGACCCCGATATATAAAACAGCGACATGGGGAGTTGTTCTGTTTGAGGGCAAGTTCGAAGCCTTCTCAGCCCCCCACCCCTTTCATCTCCCCAAGGACTCCTGAGGCAACCCCTAGGACACTTTGGGGTTCTGCCAAGCAGTTTGAAAACCACTGGCCTAGCTTGTCCTGAGCAAGTCAGAGACCCCACCCCACCCCAACTGCTTGCCGCAGACTGGCTCTTGAGTTTCTGATATCAGCGTACTCACCCAGTGGCACATGCAGTCTTCCACCTCCCCCACGAATACCATTAAAAAGTGCAGCCCTCTTTCAAAAGCAAAGGTCTGGACTAAACCTGAGGCCAATTTGGTCCCACATTCTAGCATAGTTGTCTATGTTGCCACATTCTGGGACCAAGTGAAAATCTCCTAGAAGCGTCAACTGTGGTCGAGCTAAGCTGATCATTGCTTAGAATTGCAGGCAGGGTTCTAGAGCACTGTGAATGAAGTCAACATTGGACAGCAGCAATTTTAGCACCTTGAAAAGTGCAGCAGTGAGTCGTCTGGCTCAGGGCATGCATTTGGAGTGAATCGTTTCTTCCTCGAGAGAAAAAGCTATAGTCTGAATTTGTTCTAGAGGACTGTGAGTTCTAAAGTTAGCATCCTCAGACTCTGAGGTACAAGTAACACCCGTGCAAACAGCGTGGCTTCAAATGAAACAGAAATGCTTCTAGGTCATGGTAGGTACTCTAGAACCCATACACCTGGCCCCTCAAAAGCAGCACGGAAGCCCACCACACAGAATAGGCCAGTCATGGAGTACCTGTCACCCTCACACCCATGGGGCTCAGAGCTGAAATGGTCCTCTCAAGACATCAACAGTCTTACTGAGACACAGTGCAGAACCCAGACTGTTTTTGAGGTCAGCATTTGTCTACATCCTCAAAAGGAAAATTAGAGCCCCAATTTAGAGTTTAAGTTTGGGTAAAGAGGTCCCAGAGATAGGGAATACTTTAGGCACCATTGTGCCCCAGTGGGAGGGGAGGGTGGCAGGCAGACCCAGCTACCGAAGCCCCCACCCTCCCAGGCTCCACAGCCTTGCCCTTCTGACAGAGCCCAGGAGGCAGCAGCAAGTGCTCAATGCACAAGGAAGGAACAAGGCCAGCTGCAGAGCTGTTCTTCTCTCCAAAGCCAGGCCAAAGACTTTCTGCAGAGAAGAGCCAGCACCCTCAGTCTGGATACAGTGTTTCTCCCTCAGCCTTGTGACTTCAGGAAAAGGGAAGGGGAAGGAGGGGCTGGGAGGAGGGGCAGAGGGCTGTGGATAGTTGCCAATGCAAGAGGCAATGTTTTCTCCTTGAAGAAGCCCACCACCACCAGATCAAATGAACAGCCCAGCATGCACATGCACACACGTGTCAGACAGCTGGCAGCCACAGCCGCCTCCCCAATCACCTGAGAACCCCAAACTTCCATTTCAAAAGGTTGAGCCCTCCAGGTTCCTCAAATCCCACTCATCCAATGGAGACGCAATTCCTTATGCAAGTCCACCTTCCTCAGGGCTGCAAACCAAGCTCCAGGTAGTTTCCTGTGCATGACCTATAGGGATGATCCCCCCCACCCCCCAAACCTTGGAATGACTCCATCACCTGGCCCCTTCCTAAAACATTCCCCAGTGTCTGCAGCTCACTCTTCCAACTCTGCCTGGCACACTCAGCTCCCTCACCCTCTACCTTTCCCCTGCCCTGCTCTGTTGCACATCCATCCATTCACCCCACTTCTTCTAAGGGCATTCTCTGTTCTGTTTCTATTCTCCCAGCCACACCTAGCCCCACCTGGCCTTGGACTTTTTCACTTGCTAGCAAAAAAGGCCCCTACAGTTACCAGGGCCCCCAGTGCCACGGCCCCCGTCAGCACTGTCCTCACTGATGCCCAGTTCCCCTCCCGCAGACGCCGCGCCTCCTCCAGGGCCCCGTCCCCGTATAGAGCTGTGAACTCCGCCTGTGGGAGAGAAGGGAAGTAGGAGAGAAAGAAGGAGAAAGGGATATCAGGAGAGGAAAGAGTAGAGAGAAGAGGAGAGGAAGAGTTCCAGTTCCATCCACTGTGAGCACTACCCCATTCCCAGCTTGTCTCCGACTTCAGAGCTCTGCTGACTGCAAACCCCTCCTTGCCCCAAGTGCCTGGCCAGCTTGCTTGTGCTCCCTGACTTAAGTAAAATCCATCCTTTCCTTGGCAAAAAAAAAGTCTACTCAAAACTGACACCTTTTGCCAAGGCTCGCCTGATATCACCCCTCCCCACCTCCCATGCCATGTGCTCAGGTGTAACACCTTTGGACTGCAGGCACTCCTTGGGTGCCATGCATTCTGTCCTCTGCTTGGGACCATGAGCTCATCCAGTGATTACTACATGGCAGCCCTGGAGTGCAGAGTTCAATGTGATGCTCACAGTGAGGGCATCTTAGTCTGACTCCACCTAAAGAGGAGGGTACACCCCCATGCCTCCTTCCCAGCACAGCTGCCCCAGCCGCCAATCAGAGCCCCCATCTTCCCCCTGGAGATCAGCTTTGCAGAGGGATGTGCAGAGCAGCAACTGAGAAGCTTCTTACCCAGCCCCCACTGCTGTGGATCCAGTCGGCCAGTCTCGTCTCCAGGTAAGCCACCATCCACTCCTGCACTTGGCCCACCAGTGGTTCCATCTCTTTGTTGACACTCTCAGCACATAGGGCAGCCCCAAAGACAAAGAAGGCCACAAGACGGCCCCAGTTTGGGCCCCCTTGGAAAAGTTCGTCGGAGACCTGGGTGAAGCGTTGCTGGGCTGAGCCAGGGGTCACATGCAGCTGAGCAGCCAGATCAGAGAAGGTGCGACGGAAGCGGGTCTCGAACTCATCTCCAGCTGCCCGCATGGCTTGGTGCAGTGGGTCAGCTGCTGGGCCCTCCCCAGGGCCAGCTCCACAGACATAACCCTTCTGCCTCAGCTTATAGCCTACAAAGTCAGCCACCAGAGCCCGTGTGTCTGGTGCTGAGGCTGGGGTCGCCATCCGGGCGGCTGTATGGGACAAGGATGAGACTGTCATGAATACACGGGAGGTATGGTCGAGGGGTGTGAGGGGGTGAGGGTGGGGGGGGTGTTTCCAGTCTGGCCAACCCGAAAAGACGGTGTGGTGGGGCAGGGGGTGAGGAGGATGAGCTCAGAGACTACTGGGAAAGACAGGCAAGAACAAGAGATTTATGTTAAAGTGTGGGCTACGGCATGAAGGGATGGCCAATATATTTGGAATATTCCAAATCAGATGTAAAGCAAGAACATTTTATTTTTGAATACTTCAGATTCTTTTCAAAACACCTACACCAGCTCTAAGGCACCCTGACACCCCCTCCCCCACCCCACCCGCAACAGTGAACATCTTTTTGGCTGCAGGAAGGGGCTTACTTAGGACCTCCCCAGAAGCAAGAAGTGACCACAGGGAGGGGACGGGGCTGAAGAGAAAGGTGGGAAAGGGCAAGGGCTGCCCAGGACAGAGAAAAGAAGGACACTCACCCAGCCTGGGTGGCAGCTCTTAGGACCCAGTGCTGGTGGCAAGGAGCCCCCAGCTGGGGCCTTTCATCCTCCCGGCCAGCTTGGAGTCCTGGAAAGGGGAAAGAGAGATCAGAACTGGGCAGGGATCTGAGTCTGGCCTGAGAAGCACAGGGTTACAACTCCTGGGACCGGGCCTCCTGCCCCCAACGCTCTACCAGCTGTGTGGCCGAATCCATGTTTCACGACTGTCCTCCCAGGAAACCCAGAGCCAAGGGCTTCCTGCCGACACCATCCTATTCTCGGTTCCCCCCAGGGCAGCCCAAAGGCCCAGCTCCTCCTTTACCCCCACCCTTAGCACGTCTCCAACCCCGCCCGCCTGCCAGGTTAGGGATCTCACGGGTCAGGCCGCCGCCGGGATCCAGGCCGTTTCCTGGTGCAGGAGCTGGGAGGGAGGGAGGAAGGGAGGAAGGGAGGGAGGGAAGGAAGGAGGGAGGAGAAAGGGGGGCAGGAGGGAGGGCCCGGCGCCGGGTGATGATGGGGCCCAGAGATGCGTCCGGAGAGAGGGGCGGGGCTGGAGCGCAGGCCTGGGAAGGGCCACAACTTGGAAAGAGAAGGCTGGGAAAGCGAAGAATGGCTGTGTGGACAGGGACCCTTGAGCTGCGCTGCCAAGCCTCGAGGCTGCCCAGAGAAGTGCACTGGGCCTCAGAACATCTCGGAGCAAATTCAGCATTTCCGGAAGGTCTCTGATGTTCCACACACTTGTTGAACTTTTCCAGCCCTGGATTGTGAGTCTGGAAAAGAGGAGCAGTTCTCATGAAGCCAGGGACTGACGTGTCCTGTGAGACTGGCAAACACCACCGGGACACCAATCCTTTTTCATTCTCTTTTCCCCAGGGTTTATAATCCAGTGGTCTCTTCCTGGGTTGAGGATTCAGCCCGGGATCAGCCAGCCAGGACTCAGACTGCAAGCGGCCTCTGCAGGTACTTTTTTTCTTCATCTTCTTTTGTAATCGGATTGATGTATAATTTTTTTTTAACCCAACACGTGAACTCATTCTCATAATGGAAAAAAAAAATCACACACAAAGAAGCACATCATAAAATAAAATGCAGGTTCCCAGCCCCTCCTCACAGCAGGTTGCCAACATGAAGGTTAATATTTAGCCTTCCAGTTGACATACGTCTGTTATACTACGTGGCAGTATATTCATGCAGGGCGCTTCCTTGGGTGTGAAGCAGGCTGCCCTCAGCTGATCTACCTGGAGGTACTCACAGGCATTGGGACCAGGCCCATCGGGCTCTTGGAACTGGCAATTCCTTCAGCTCCCTTTGGAAAAGGCCCCAGGCAAAAGCCAGCAAGAGACAGCCCAATTCTCTTTCTTTACTCGGGTTCTTTTCTCCTGGTTTCCTTTGCTTCTACCTCCAATCTATGCCTTAGTGCTCCTGTCTTCTGTATGGTTACTAGAAAACCAGATTTTGTTTTTTTTCTGTAACAATAATAGTAACAACACAACTAAAAGTCTTATTAAGGGTTAAGTACTTTCTTTACATGTTTTTGTTTTGCTTTGTGGTACTGCTGTAATTAATCTTTTTTTGTTTTGAGACAGATTTCGTTAAGTATGTAGTTCAGACTGGCCTTGAACTCATGTATTCCAGGTTGGCCTCAAACTCATGACAATCTTCCTGTATCAGCCTCCCAAGTACTGGGACTATAGATGTATGCTACAACATCCAGCTGCAGTTTTTTTTATTTTGAGTCAAGGTCTTGCTATGTAGTGCAGGCTGTCCTTGAACTCACTATGTAGCCCAGGCTGGCCTCAAACTTGCCTCAATCCTCCTGCTTCAGCCTACCAAGTGCTGGAATTACAGTCATGCACCACCATGCCCAGTCAGCTGTAATTAATCTTAAATAATTTTTTTTCGAGGATTGAACCCAGGGCCCTCACACTGAACCACATCCCCAGCCCTTTTAAAAAATTATTTTGAGACAGTATCTTGCTAAGTTGCTAAATTGCCCAGGCTAGACTTGAATTATTGATCCTCCTGCCTCAGCCTTTCAGAGTGCTGGGATTACAGTATATACCACCACACCCAGCTTCTTACACAGGTTTTATTTTTACTTCAATCCTTATGCTGTTTTAGTCTCCTACAATGAGGAAATTGAGGGTTGGCTCTCATGTACTGATAAAGGAAGAAGCTGAAAGATAGTCTACATCTGTCTGACCTGAAAGTGTAGTGTTAACTTAGACCTCGTATTGCCTCAAGAGCACCTTTTCCTCTTGGTAGTCAGTGTTGCTGTCACAGGTGGAATGCACACCGTTTACGAGTACATAGAATGACTCCACTACTTTATGGCTGTATTCTTTCAACCATCCTCATTGGTTTCTTGCTCTTGAGCTGATCATTTCAGCTGCCACCAGCAAGGTTGCCCCCTTCTTTGGAGGCTAACCTAGTCTAGGTCTTTATTTGCAATTCTAGTTTCTTCTAAGACCCTATTACTTGTAATAAATAGTTTGTTTTAAATTTCAAGTAAATGTCTTAGGGAACCCAAAAATATTTGTCTGCCCCTTTACTTTGGAGCTCCATAAGAGCTGGAATTGAGGTGGATTCATTTTTATGTCTTCAGGGCAAAATGGGCCCTCAGTAAGTTTGACTGAATGAATCAATCAATGCCTCTGGGCAGTTATTGATTAGTCTCAGCCAGATGCTTGAAGATCACTGCAGTGGCTGTTTAAGAAATACTGATTTGGGATAAAGATTCAGTGTCAGTCTGAGCAGCCAGAAGAACAGCTGCTGGACCAACACAACTTTTACCTGGTCCAAAGCTATGTATCTCAGGGATCTTCTCAGACCAACACTGCAGACCCAAAAGATGGCACCTAAACTCATAGACAAAGTTAACAGTCCTTACCAGAAATGCTGAGACCACCTAGGCTGGCTTTGAACCTATTTTACCTTAGTGACACATTGTTTTTCCAGTGCAAGGAAGACCCTTTCAAACTGCTTAACTGTGAGATTTATTAGTGTATGGTAATTTTATACCTTAAGATATAGAGACTGTGTTCATGGATTTTATATGTATATGTGAAGAAAATAAAACTCAATATGGCTTTTAAAATGAGTGGTTTTTTATGGTTGATACTGGTGTGAAAATGCAAATAGAAATGAATTGTACAGTAAGATACTATGTCTCACTTTTTCAATTTAGTCACTTGTGATTTTTTCAGTTAAACTATCCTGTTTTAAATTTAGAGACTTCATTTCTACTCTAATATTTCCCATTTTACTACTCTGAAGATGTCAGCATTATCATTACATTTTTAACCTTATACTGTATAATCAAATGGCTAAGAGAGTGGACTATAGGCATGGACTGCTGAGGTCCTAATCCCAGCTCCCCAGTTATTAACTGTGTGACTCTGGACAAGAGTTCTACCCCCACTCCCCTCGATTTTCCTATAACTGTATTTCACGAGTTAATAATTTTAGAACTCTTACAATAGTATATGGTACATATCATTGTACATAATAGTATATTTAGCATATTGTACGTGGTATTTTAAGATCAGTAGGGAAAAAAACTAAAAACATGCCTTTTCCATTAATATGGGGGGAAAAAATCCAGTTCTGTGACCTTCTTGGAAGCTTTCACTAGAACTAGAACCCCACAGCCTGATCTCCAAGAGAGGTGTTGTGTGCTCACACTACCATTTTTTTTTTTTTTTTCTGGTACTGGCAATGGGAATCAAACTTAGGGCCTCACACTTGCCAGGGAGGTGCTGCGGTGCTGAGCTACATCCCCAGCCCAATCATTCACTAACTTGATGACCCACCCTGTGGTAAAACTGACCACTAGACACAGCCCCTCCCCTTCAGTATTTATAACTGGATTAGAGATCAGAGCTCTAACGAACTTTTTTTCTTTTTGGTACTGGGTATCGAACTCGGGACCTTGGGCTTGCGATGGAAGCGGCAGAAACACTGAGCTAAATCCCTGGCCCTATCTAACGAACTTTTTTCACAGGTGAGACAATTGAGGCCAGCGAAATTGTGCTTTGCTCCAGGTCACACAGTTAGCCAGCTGCAGGCCTGGGACTAGGGCTAATCAGTTCTGGACTTTTTTTTTTTGGTACCGGGGATTGAACTCGGATCCTTGCGCTTCAGGCGGCAAAACCACTGAGCTAAACCCCCAGCCCTAGTTCTGGACTCTTTATAGTGGGCAGATTTCAGTCACCCACCTTCTTGAAAGCCACAGCTCACCTTCTATTTGACCGTACCTAGCTCTCAGAACATTTTTGTCTTTGGCCCACTAGAAAATGGTGAGCCCTGAAGACAAAGTCACACATTGGGCGTTTTGAATCTTCAAGAAAAAGAAGTTATTCTTTCCTTCCTGTGTTAACCCTCCCCATGTCAGAAAGGTTGAGGACGTTAAAAATAAATAAGGCCTCACTTGGGACCCAAAGGATGGAGTCCCCGCCCCCTGGTGCAACAGCGAAGACAGATCAGGAGCCACCTGTCAGAGGGCTGTGGGCGGGGGCCCGAGCCGAGAGGCCCGCAGAATCGGCAGGGAGCTCACGCTCCGAGCTGACAGCTCCAAGGAGGCAGCATGGCATAGTGCAAGACCCTGGCAGCTGACAGCCAGAGGGAGGTAAAGGTGGTCACGGAGACAAGGCCGAGCAACGGAAGGTGGAGGATCCTGGAGGTGACAGCAAGGAGAGTACGCAGCGGCAAAGGGCTGCTGCAGGGCGGGCCCGGAGACTTCCGTGCCGACGCAGGGCGAGCAGGAACGAGGAAAGGCGAGCCGCGCCGGGACCGGGGGTGCCATGTCCCGCGAGCAGCCGCCCCGCAGTGACATCCCCCGCAACCTGAGTTTTATAGCTGCGCTGACAGAGCGCGCCTACTACCGCAGCCAGCGGCCCAGCCTCGAGGAGGAGCCGGAGGAGGAGCTAGGTGAGGGTGGGACGCGGCTCGGGGCTCGGCCCCGCGCTCACGCTCCGAGTCGTGGCCGCCGGGCCCGCTCTGCGCCCGCCGTGGGCGGCGGGGCCCGGGCACCTCGCAGCCGTAGCCCCGACACCCGCAAGAGAGTGCGTTTCGCCGACGCGCTGGGGCTGGAGCTGGCCGTCGTGCGCCGCTTCCAGCCCGGAGAGCTGCCCCGGGTGCCCCGCCACGTGCAGGTCCAGCTGCAGAGAGACGCCCTCCGCCACTTCGCGCCGTGCCAGCCGCGCGCCCGCAGCCTCCAGGTAGGCGGCAGGGTGCGTCCGCTCCCTGGAACCCCTCCTCGCCGGGAGCTCCCGTTGGTCCCCAAGCCGGGGCTTGTGCCTGCCCATCCCCGTAGAGGTGCTTCGCGTGTGACCGGCGCCGCTAAACCACTCTCGAGCCGCTCCACACTAATCAGGCCGGGCGCCGGGTTGGCTTCTGATTGGCCCAGTGCCTCACGGTGACCCCGCCCCCTGTCTCTTCCCTTTCCCCGCCCCCGGCTCCCTTCTTCCCGCTCCTCTTTCCCCAGGAGGCGCGCGCTGCCCTGGAGCCGGCCTGCGAGCCGGGTTTCGCCGCCCGCCTGCAGGCTCAGTGTATCTGCCTGGAACGCGTCGAGGCGGGCCCGCTGGGCGTGGCCGGGAGCGCGCGCGTGCTGGACCTGGCTTACGAGAAGCGCGTGAGCGTGCGCTGGAGCGCAGACGGCTGGCGGAGCCAGCGCGAGGCGCTCGCCGCCTACGCCGGCCCGGCCCCGCCCCCACCGCGCGCTGATCGCTTCGCCTTCCGCCTGCCCGCGCCGCCCGTCGGGGGCGCCCTGCTCTTCGCCCTGCGCTACCGCGTGACGGGTCACGAGTTCTGGGATAACAACGGCGGACGTGACTATGCTCTACGTGGCCCAGAGCACCCGGGCAGTGGCGGAGCTCCGGAGCCCCAGGGCTGGATCCACTTTATTTGAGCCGAGGCAGCTGCAGCCCACGGCGGCGGGGGCGGGGGGGTTGAGGGGGGACCCAAGGCACCCGGAGGCAAGGAAAAAGCCCTTGTGGCGGGAGGACGGGAGAAAGCGAGATGGGCGGGCAGCTGTCCTGGAGAGTCTAGTGGGGAAGGGCGATGAGGATGCGGGGCGTCGGCGGAGATGGGGGCGGGGGGCGGACGGAGCACGACGGCTGAGTGTGAGTGGAAGGAACCCGAGCCAGAGAGAAGGAAAGAGCGAAGGCGCTGGAGGGATTGGAGGACTGCTAAGGAGTGAGTGATGGTGGCCTTCTCTTAAGAGATTTGGCCTGGCAGGAGTAGGTAGTCGAAGGTTAAGGGTCCTTTTTGGGATTGAGAAACAATGCGTGTAGTCCACCCCAGTTGAAGACCTTTAGGCTGCTAATTTTTAACCTTTTACCGGCCTTTGCCACCTCAGGTCCCTCAGTCCTACCCATCCCAGCTTTATTTCAACCATCATTGCCTTGCTTACTCCCAAGAACTTAGCCATTGCTTCCTGGGCCCTGGCATTATGACAAGATTCCTTGTCACCCAACAGTTTCGGATTTCAGTCCTCACGGACTTGATGCGAAGTGATGACAGGTAGTAGAGCTGCCTCCAGCCTCCAGGCAGCAATAAGGATTATAATGGAGGGAAAAGCAACTCCAAGTCTGTCCTTGTAGCCCAACTGTGGAGCTCCAAGGGATTGGTACACTCAGGGGCTTCCAGAAAAAAATGCCAGCCTTACTTTTCTGGGTGCCTTCTAATAACCTTTAAGCACTTTATGGATTGTGTTTGTCAAGGGACTGTGAACACGAGAATAACTATTCGAATTTATTTCTTCTGCCTAAGAAGAAAAGGAAGTCACTGACTAGTTGTGTGACTTTGAGCAAATTACTTCAGTTCTTTGGCCCCCAGCTTTCTTGGTGGGGAAATTGGATTTGAGTTAGGTGATCACTTAAGGCCGCTGCTTTTGACATTTATGATCTGTGCTGTTAAACAGTGTAGATTAGAATCTCCAGCCTCGTGCTGCAGTTCAGAACACACACAGCCCTGAATGTGTGTTGGGGGCTGAGGATGAGCCCTCTAGTTTTTGGCACAGATATTTAAGAGCCTAGGAAGCGTCCCACAACCAGTCTGCAGCCTCAGGGTATTCCAGAGCCTTTTCCAAACTGCAGTTTACCCTCTGCCCCTTGTTTTAGCTCTGGCCTTCATAGACTTCCAGAGACTGGGTTCTCTGAGACCTCTTTGGGGAAAATGATGCTTGGTAGCCCCAAAATGAAAGGAAAGAATGTGGGCATCCCTTGAGAATAAAAGATTATAGGTTTAATGAATGGAAAACATCAAGCATGAGAGCAGCTTGAAATTTAAATGGCGTCAGAAGATGGCAATCAGATCCATATCCTGAGCAAGTGAAATGGGAAAGCTGGACTCCTCTATTTACATTCCTCCCTGCAGTCTCCTCTTCGTTAATTTTAATACAGAAGTCATTTCTTTGCTGGTTGCTTGTTTTTCCTTTCCTCTCCCCCTGTACCTAACCTCTTTGCTTTTCTTTTTTTCATTGTTCCCATCCCTTCTCGTCTCTTTTCTCATTGAACATGTAGGGTATTTACATTTCCTACTTTCTCCATCCTTGTTGATCTCTGCTCTTCCTTCTCCCTTTTCTCCAAAACCACGGTTGATCCACTTTCTCCCTCTGCTCCTTGTAAAGGGAGAAAGGGGATAAGAAGCAGTTCCTGATGTTACAGATGAACAAGGAGCTCCCAGGTAACTAGCTCCCCGTAACTTTTTGTATTATTGATTTCTCGAAAGAAAGATTTCTGGCTCCTGTTCTTCCTTGTCACTAAGTGAAGGAGGTCGTGCACATGCATGTACCTTCACATGCACTTAAAATGGAGGATAGGGCTTTTTACCATGGCCTTCCTATCCACAGCCTTAATCCTTTGAAGAAAGCTGAGAGGACCCCCTAGATGTTTCCACAAATTTAAAACATCATGTTTAGCTTGGCACGGTGGCTCATGCCTGTAATCCCAGCTCTCTGGGAGGCTGAAACAGGAAGATTGCAAGTTTAAGTGTAGCCTGGGTAATTCAGTGGCTTGGTGAGACCCTGTTTCAAAAAAGAAAGGACTGAGGGCTGGGGATTTAGCTCAGTGGTTTCGCCACCTGCTGCACGAGTGCAAGGACCCGAGTTCGATCTCCGGTACCAAAAAAGAAAAAAGAATGGACTGGAAAAAAAAAAAGGACTGAGGATGTAGCTCAGTATGAAGGCCCTGGGTTTAATCTCCAATACCACAAAAGAAAAGTGATCTTGTAATGAAAACAAAGAATTTCATGTATTTTGTAAATCAGCTTCAGGTCAGCAAAGTGAGGAGAAACTACTGGAAGTAACCAGGCATTGCACTGTTTAGGCCAAAGCCAGGAATCCAGGAAGTCTGGGTCAAGGTTCAGTATGTAATAATGTTTTGCCTGCTGTGTTACTGTTATGTCATATTAACAGTAGAAATAGCTCACATTTACTAATATATCTGCTAAAATTGTTTTGCATGCATGCTCAAAACAACCTTATGAGTTGAGCATTATCATTATTCGTATTTTATTTTATTTATTTATTTTGGTACCAGGGATCAAACTCAGGTCCTTGCACTTGCAAGGCAGGTGGAGGAACCACTGAGCTAAATCCCTGGTCGCATTATTCCTATTTTAGAGAAAAGTCCCAGAGAAGAGAGAAGCTCAGTAATTTGTCCAAGATCACATGGCTAGTAAATTGCAGAGCAATATAATCCAGTAATCTCCAGAGCCCATATGCTTAGCCATAATGTTACTTTTTTTCTTTAGAAACAAAATGAGGAAGCTGGGCATGATGGTACACACTTGTATTTCCAGCAGTCTGGGAGGCTGAGCCAGGTGGATTGCTAGTTTAAGCCCGGCCTGGGCAACTTAGTGACTTAGCAAGACCCTGCTCGAGATAAAAAAGGAAGTGCTTAGGGCGAGGGATTTAGCTCAGTGGTTCTGCCGCCTGCCTGGCAAGCACAAGGACCTGAGTTTGATCCCTGGTACCAAAAAGAAAAGGTGGAAAAAGAAAGTGAGGATGTAGCTCAGTGGTTCAATTGTAAAGCCACAAGGAAAAAAACCATTGCTATATGTCTTTTTTTTTTTTTTTTGGTACTAGGGATTGAACTCAGGACCTTGCATTTTCAAGGCAGGCACAGTGCTGCTGAGCTAAATCTCCGGCCTAATATGTCATCTTTTAATAGGAAAACTATAGTTCCTGATTGTGCTCTACCTTCCTATACTCCCAGTCTCCTGAACTGGCTTGGAGAAGGAAAAGCACTTGAGGTCCCAGGCTTCATCTGTTCTACCAGGAGGTTGTTGCTGTCTTCTGTGTTGCTGTCTCAGCTCTGCAGAATCAGCAAGGGATCACTCCACCTATTTAAACTCCAGCCTTTGTGTACCATTGGAATTCTCTCCTGGCCTTCACCAGCCTTCCATACCTGTTGGTTTGCCACCTCCCTCTCCCTCCCCAGTAGCCTTGAGTGGGTAGATTGCTTGGTGTTTCCACTAGAAAGCTCCCTGGCTAGGACAGCTGCTGGCTGGGCTGTGCTCAGGCCCTAGTATACTGTTGGTGAGTAAACAGAAACTTGGATTTGGGAGAGGGAACCAGGAATACTCCTGTTCCCTGAGCTCATCCTGTGTAAGATAGAGTGCCATGTGGGCCGGGGATTTAGCTCTGGTTCTGCTGCCTGCTTCGAAAGCGCAGGGATCCGAGTTCAATCTCCGGTACAAAAAAAAAAATAGAGTACCATGGCCCACTCGCTCTCTCATTTTCAGCTTTGGAGGATAACATGAGTCTTCTGGTTCTCTCCATATTTAGCTGACATAGGCCCTGGAGTAAGCTGGAAGTTTCCCCAAGCCTGGGCCTGAACTGAGCCACATTCTTGCACACACAAATAATGGGTATCTCACTCTTTGAACCTGGACTTGCACAACTACCAGTGCGAGCAACCCTGTAAAATAGGGAAGAAACTAATACTTCTCAAGTGGCTTTTGTGTGCCCGGTCCCTTTGAGATTCTCTGGAGCTATCCCTTGCCTAGGTGCCTTTGATGTGTACTCCTCCCCTAGGACTTGAGCACTGAGATTCTCCCTAGCTCAGGTTTTCCCTCACCTTGTGCAGAGCTGGTGCAGTGGTGTTACAAACCTCACCATCTGCAATTCTTGTGCGATGACATAGTACACTTTCCTTCCTGTCTTCCTCTTGCCCAAACTCCCAGTAAGCAAAGAATACTATGCCCAGACAGAGCCGTGACGATTGGCTTTTCCCAACTGCTTCCATGCAACCTGAAGTGGAAATACTAGGAATTTGGCTGAATCTTTAGGAGTCCTGATAGGTGTTATGTCTTAGGCATTGTAGTGGAGCGTCCTCTAATGTCTGATGATTATGAATAGCAGTTTGGGGTATAACATGGCAGCTGTGGATTGGGAAGTGCTGTAAAAGAAAACACTACCATGGTCCAGGGCTTGATCCTTGAGCCAGCCCAACAGGAGCACTGTCCCTTTCCGCTAATCCAGACCTCGGAAATCATCCTGCACCTGTCTGTCCTCTACCCTTCCTCCTGTTGCTTTGTTTCTCTATGAATGTAGCTCGTTATGTCATAACAAGCCCTAACACCTCAACTTTCCAGTCTGACTCCCACATGGGTTTCTCTGGAGCTCCTCTGGATCCCTGCCATTCACTGGTCATAGTCTCCGAGACAGGAAAAGCTTATCTTCAGAGAGCATTGAGTGCAGGCTCCATTGCAGAGAACAGGTTCAGAGATGAGAAGACTCCAGCAGGGTCAGATTGTTTGTTAGTGCAGCTCAAGATTGGGTTAAAAAAAAAAGATTGGGGTTTAAACTCAGGCCTCCTGATTATATCCTGTTACCAGACTGAGAAACATACCTCATGCACACAGACTCGTGGCAATTCATGGAAAGGATAATATCAAAAATGTTTCATTTTTTGCTGCTAGTTTCTACCCCCTTTCCCTTCCAGGCATAAAGAGGAACGAAGGGACCAATAGTTTTCTCTGTGTCCCCAGACTTGGAATTTCTTTTGATGATGTTGCTATAAAGACTGAATAATCCACCTCTTAAGTAGGTAACCCAGGGTCAAAATGAAAGCTTGTTACATGAATTCCCCCAAAAACCTCTGTTCTTGCCAGGCTCTCCCAGAACCTCCCCAACTCTTCACAGTGCAGCCCTGTGCACTGGGCCCCAAGCCCACTAGTATTTTCCCTCACTTCAAATTTTTTATGTAGCTGCCCTCCCTTCTGGGTATGAAACCTCATGTTTGAAATAAAGTTGAAATACGAAAAGAAAATACAAGGTATTCAGAAATTTTCTTTGTTTTGGGCCAAAGGTTGCAAAAAACAAAAACACTGAGCCCCCTTTCCATTTCTTGGTCTTTTCATTTCTTAAAAGTCTTACTCCCTCTGGGCATGATGGCACACACTACAATACTAGCACTCTGGGAGGCTGAGGCAGGAAGATCTTAAATTCAAGCCCAGCCTGGGCAATTTAGCAAGGCCCTATCAAAAAATTTACAAAGGGCTGGGGATGTAGCTCAGTGCAAAGGCCAGGGGTCAGCACCCAATTCCACAAAAGTTGCATTTTTCTTTCTGGTGGAGTCCTCTGGCTATGAAAAATTTGCACGGGAAGGAATTACAGAGGAGCTAGGTAGCCCTGGTATAAGACACCCTAGCAGGATCCTACCACTCCGGGGGAACAGCCAACTGGAGTTCCCTGACACCCAGCATCTGGTGCAATGAAAGATTGGGAGGGGCACTCTTCTTCCTTAGCAGACCATCTGAATTAATTGTGCTCCTTAAGCACTGCAGGAGCAGCAAAGGATGAGAAATATGATGAAGAAAAGCAAGTACCTCTGTCTAACCTAGGATGGAGTGATGGGAAGAAATAATAAAGGGAAGTTCTTGAAAAAGGTCACATTCTAACAGGATTGACCCACATTGCCCGAATGTTGAAAAAAATCACCCACGCTGTAATGAGATGTTCCTAGTAGGAGAGCCCTAGTGGTAGCATTGTCACAGGCTTCCTTGTTACATCATAATGGCCGAACGGTGATGTCACTGAGAGCACCCACCCTTCTGTGAGTACGTGGAGCCAGCTATGCTGAAGGGAAGTCAGCATGAGGAGCAGACATCCAAGGAGAGGTAAGTGGGGGCTGCCCAGGGATGGACACTCACAGCCTTTGAGCTCTGTGACCCTGACCTTTCCAGACCAGTTTGGTGTTAGGTTTGTCTGAACTCATTCTTTCAGATACTGTCAGTGCAGCTTTTTCTATCCCAAATCCACTTCATATTCTCAATACTTACAGTCCTAACCTGTCAGCCCTCCAGCTCACTCCAGCTCTGGTATTTCTTAGAAGATAAGGCACAGCATGCTGGGCCAGGGTTTTCCTAAATAGGACACACTGACCATATCCATCTGGTTAATCCCAAGGGTAAATCCAGGTTTTTGGGTCCCCGAAGTATACAACTTTTGGGACCCCCTTCAAGAAAATATAAGCACACAGGCCAGGGATGTGGCTTAGTGGCACAGCACCTGCCTGGCAAGCGCAAGGCCCTGAGTTTGATTCCCAGTACCAAAAATATTTTGGATGAGAAAAGATATTAAAAATTAGGAGTTTTAAACTGATGAGAAGTTATCCACCTGGCAAACCTATATAATTTTTCTACTGTTTAGTAGACATTTTCATATGCATATGATTTTATATAGAGAGTAGATTCTATATTCTGTATCTGTACATTGAACACTGAGCTATATTCTCAGCCCTTTTTTAAAATTTTGAAACAGGCATGGTGGAGCATCCTTACAATCTCAGTACTCCAGAGACAGACAGGAGTATCACTCTGAGTTTGAGGCCAGCCTGAGCTACATAATGAGTTCATAGTTTAGCCTAAATTGCACAGTGAGACCTTGTCTTCAAAAAAAAAATTTATTTTTTAGACAAGATTTCACTAAGGTGCCCAGCCTGGCCTTGAATTTATAATTCTCCTGCCTCAGCCTCTTGAGTAGTTGGCATTACAGCTGTGTGCCACTGTAGCAGTTCACATGTTCTTTTCTATACAGAATAAGAAAGTGCTTGCTTCCGCAGCACATATTCTATATAGAATAAGAAAGGTGTGGTATGTTTGTAAACCCAACCAGCACTCTGGGTTGAACTTTTTATCCTCCTGCCTGGGCAATTTAATGACTTAGTGAGATCCTAGCTCAAGAAATAAAAAAGGGGGCTGGGGATAACAGTACAAAGGCCCTGGGTTCAATCTTCAGTACTAGAGAGGAAAGGAGGGAGAGAGGGGAGGGGTTGGTGGTCTAGCATAATTAAATTTTTTAAATTCCAGGGCTGGGGGTTTAGCTCTGGCACTGAGCCTGCCTAGGAAGAACAAGGTCCTGAGTTCGATCCCTGGTACTTCCCCAAAATTAAAAACTTTTGATAATTTAGAAAAAAGTCACTACACTTTGTGATTATACTACAAAAATGTTTAGGATTTTTGCCAACTTGGGAAAATATCTTAAATTTCCTTCATATATATGAAGTAAGATTTTGGAGCATTTCAAATTTGGGAAGACAGTTCCAGCTGAGAGTGCAGTGAGAAACAAAGCGCTGCCTGCTCCCCCAGGGCCATCCTGCCCTCCCCGTTGGCATTGGCCGTTGGTGACTGGCCTGACCCTGCAGGCCCTGCAATCCCTCGCTGTGACAGCCCATTGGCAGGGCCCAGGTTTTGAAGCACAGGCGAACTGCTCCCCAGCCCACCTCCGCCACCACCTGCCACTGATGGTGGTAGTGGCCTTTGAGCTGGAACTCCTCAGGCCACAGGGTCTCCTGGCCCAATCCTGCTGGCCTAGGCGAAGCCACACCAGTGCCAGCTGTGGAGGATGTGGCTCCTTGCAGGGGCTGCTGCCGAGCCTGGTGAGAAGAGTGACTGTCGCCAACCGCGACCACCACCTACAAAGAGGGCTGGAGAAGATGGGTCTGAAAGTTCAGCTGCTTTGGGCCATAGACTGTGCTGATTCGGTGACTGCTGTGTTCCAGGTGGAGGCGACTGCCCCTCCCCAATAAAGGCCTCACCGAGGATGGTGGAACAGATGGGAGGCCATGGGCGGTTGCCAGAGAGAGAAAGGGTAAAGTAACAGTCCACACTTGGCTAACTGGAAATGCCCATCACCCTTTGGGAAAATTTACTGGCTGTTTTTTAGAAGACCTGTGTATATAATATGAAAGGGCTGTTCTCATTCCCCCCAACCTTTTAAAAGAAAACTTGCTGCATGTGGACAATACAGTTGTAAAGAAGAGTTAGAAAATCACACTTCTTGGAAATGCTCATCTGTTAAAAGAAAAAAAACCACAGCTTTTTTTTTTTGCGGTACCATGGATCAAACTCAGAATCTCAGGACCTTGCACTTGCAAAGCAAGAGCAGCGCCACTGAGCTAAATTCCCTGCCCAAAGAAACGTTTTTGAAAGTGATTTTTTGAAATGGAGTTTGTTAGACCATGTGGAGAAGCGACACAGAAGTGATTCATGTCTTCGTTTATTCTGTGGGTTGGACACAGAGCAGAAGCTAGTGAGAAGAGAAGAAGGTCCAGTACCAGATTGGTTACATGTAGATATTGTTCCCTATTGTAACCATTGTCTTGTGTGTGCATTTTAGTCCTCATTTATATATTTATATATAATATATATATTTGACAATGCTAGGTACTTTATTGAAATATCTGGTCTTTCGAGATATTCTCAAGTGCCTGATACATGTTAAAAAATAGAAGTAGTAATATAACACATTTTGTAAATTTCTTTTTGTTAGAACTCACACGAAGTGTTATTTTGGGGAAGGAATAGGCAAACCCCCTCTTGAGTACACATTGTTTATGCACTGGTTCTCAGAAGAGAAGCAAATGAAGAATGCTGTGCTAGTGGTGCGATTACAGCCAAGCAAGTTGCCATTGTCCCTAATGTCTGTGCGTTTTTACTTTGCTGTGTATGTAGGGTATGTAAAGGACAGATGAGACATTTTACATCTAGTCTTCCTAGATGTTAAAGAGGTTGCCAGTTTTGGTGTGTTTTTTTTGTTTTTGGTACCGGGGATTGAACTTGGGTCCTTGCGCTTGCACAGCAGCCGGCGAAACCACTGAGCTAAATCCCCGGCCCAAGAGGTTGCCAGTTTTAATAAAAGTAGAGTTAGTAAACTAACAAATTTTGTATATTTTGTATTAAAATCCCTAGGAAAGATTGTCATCTGAAAATTTCAACATTTTAGCCCACTGAGTTAGTGGAGAAAGAAAGGATTTAACACTAAAATGCTTCTATTTTCAAGACACTTTCAGATATTGTTACATGTGTGCAGTTTAATCAAGATTGCTGTATATATATAACGGGCAAATTGAGTCCTCACTTGAAACATCTAGTCTTATCTAGATGTTTAGAAATGCCCAACGTATGTTAAATGTAGAGGTAGTAAACTATCACTTTGTAAATGTCTTTTTTGCTAAAGCACATGAAATACTGTCTTTTGGGAATGAAATGGTTAAGCCTTCTCTTGAGCAATATGGTACTGCCTGTATTTGTTCAGCAGTTTGGAGAAGGTGGGAGGGAAGCAATTAAAGGTAATATATTATTCGGGGTTTTTTTGTTTTTTGGGTTTTTTTGGTATCGGGGATTGAACTCAGGACCTTGCGCTTTTGAGTAGGTGGCAGAACCCCTGAGCTAAATCCCTGGCAAAAAGGGTAGTATATTAGTGTGTTTGTACTTGGATATTTTGAGACATCATTTTTCTGTATGTTTTGTGGGTTTTGTTTTACTGTGTATATAGTGTATATAATGGGCAAATAAGTCCTAATTTTGCAACATCTAGTCCTTAAATGTTAAAGAGATGGAGCTGGAGATTTAGCTCAGTGGTGCCGCCGCCTGCTTTGCAAGCACAAGGTCCTGAGTTCGATTCCCAGTACCAAAAAAGAAAGTTAAAGAAGTGGCCAGTGTATGACAAAGTGGTAAAGTTAGCACATGGTGTACAGTTTGTGCTGAAATACACAGAAAAGCTTGTCCTCTGTAAATGAATTCTGGATTCCACTATCTCTAACATTACATATGCTTGTACTTGTCCACTGGGTTGACGGCAGACAGAAGGCAGTGAGGCCAAAATCTTCATATTTAGAAGATATCTCAGAATATAACCATTGCTGCATGTGCAATTTTATTTATCAGTGCTGTATGATAGCAAACAAGTTCTTTTTTTGTGGAAGCAAAACCTAATTGGTACATTTTATTTGGTTTGGTTTTGTTTTGGTACCGGGGATCGAACTCAGG